GTTTTCCCTTTGATTTTTTTTTGAATTTTGGCTTTTTTTAAGCCATTTGTTTACTTATTGAGATATTGTCCAGTAGATACATTGTGAACTCTACAGATGTTATAAAAGAATTTCTTGTTTTGTTGTGTTTATATAATTAATTTGTATAAGGTAATGTTACGTTTGTTAACATTTTTCAGAACTAGAAAACAAGTGAAGAAATTAACCTGGAATAGAACATTTCAATTTAACTTAGATTGCAAAAAATATTTTAGTTATAATAACAAAATACAATAAAATAACAATTTATTTATAAAATATGAAATTACAGTGACTGACTGACTGAATTATCTTGTTATAAGGAAAATACTCAAGATTTCCAAACTCATTTTTTCTTCTATATCTGTTTTTTCTGATTACTAGGAATTTTACTTAAAATGACTGTAAAACTGGCAATGGATATTCATAAATATTGCAGGATTTGTAAGACTTGAATATAATTTCAATAGTTATTTCTGAGAATTTTAAGAGAATACAAAAAAGAAGTAGAAAAGAAATAGGACAACTTGAGATTTTAGTTGTAGTGTTTCAATTTAAGTTAATTATGAATGATGTCACATTTAAGTATTTAACATTTATATTAGTATTTTAAAAGAAATTTAATCACTTTTAAGTTATGAATGAATAAGTGATTTTTTAAAATTTATGATCCATCTTCAAGTCATTTAATATTTAAATAATTTTACAATACATTACGAAATTCAATTGTAATAAATATAGAAATCAATTTTATATAAGACTAGCTTACCCGTCGCGCATTGCTGCGATCTCAGAAGAAACGAAATTCAAGCCAACTCGTTATAATAAAATTCAATTTACATTGTATAATTTTTATTGAAACTTATTATTATTATTCATTTTCATCGGGAAAACATTTCAAAGTGTTGTTTCATTTCTATTTATTTATTGGAGTGCTTGTGGATACACAATATTTTTTGTTTTTTTGTCTGGTGCGTACACGAATAAATCAGAAGGTTTTTTGACCCGTGAGCCAGCCACATACAGTTGTCCATGCGAGAAGCACGGATTCTCCAAATTTAGTTCACACACTTGCAGCAATTGTCAAAAGTGCGATATTTTTATATATTTTTTAAAAATCATTTATAATTTTAATTATTTAATTGCTTTTTCCTCTTTTCCTTGGCATGTTGTGAAATTTCTGATAGTTGGATAATAAACCGTTATATTGTAATTTGTCTTTTTAAATTATTTTGAGTCGATATTAAAATTTGGAAAAGGGGATTCCTAGATCGATAAAATATGCAAATTTCTTTTTACAGCTTCTGTTGTTGTTTGGGATTTAACAAAGTTTGAGCGAATACATAATTAGCAAAAAAAAAAAAAATTGAAATAAAGTGATTAAACAAAAATTATTACAAATATCGTAAATAACAGTTCACAAATGCATATATATAGATATTTTTTGAAGGGGGAAATGGTCTTTACAATTTGAAATCGATCGAACACACAGTGATCGAATGCTCGTATAAACGCGCGCCATCTATTCTAAGATAAATGTACTATGCCAGAAACCTTCGCGGGAGTATATTAAACAACTTCGCAAAGTTTCACGGCAATCGGATAAACGGTGTGGTAATGCATGAAGGACAGACACACATACATTCATTTTCATATATATAGATAACATTCCTGTAAAATTAGTATCAATAATTAACAATAAAATTTTTTAATGTATAATTTTGTAATTGCTGTAGACTACATCACATTACTTAGTTAAATAAAATACACACAACACATACAGTGGGTGATAGGTTAACGAACATAATTCACTCCAAGAATTTGTTTGTTAACCGATTATTGATTTACCATAGGTTTTAATGGAAATTTAATTAATTTGTTCTGGAGACCCCAAAAATAAAAAATATATACTTTGTTACTACGTTTATTTATATGTAATAATAAAAATCCATACATACACAGTCATGCATTTTTATTAGTCATGTTTTTTTTTTGTTCGAAAGGGTTAAAGAATCTGTCTAATGTCGATTGCTTTTCTCTCTTCTTCAGGATTTTTTGTAAGTAATTAATAGCATTGCAATTGTAGAAATCCCCAAGCCTCAACCTGGTTTGGATGCCATTCTAAGATTGTTGTTCTGACATCCTCCCACTTCTTCAGAGGATCTTTAATAACAGATATCGGCATTAATCCTGTTTTTCAGAAGAAAACATATCTCGTTGAGTTTTATTGGTGTTCTTCTGTCATTAGATCCGTTTCAGGTTCCATTATGAACTCTTCAATGTTCTTCATTTTTCAGATGTGATTTTTCTTATTTCTTTAGCTGCTTGAGTCTTCTCGATTATACAGTATTTTTTTAAATAAGATTGAACTGCGGCCTACTGTAGACCTGTTCACGCCATACTGCACACTCTCTACCTCTGCTATTATACTCTCACCTTTCGAACTGAAAAACAGACACAAACTTAACTAGTGCCTACCCGACAGTTTTACGAATACATAAAAGAATTGTTTTGTCAGAAAAATAAAAGGCTGGAAATTAGAAGGGAGAGTTTCAAAGTTTGGAGGAATACTATCTGATCGGTATATATCGGCTTGAGTGTTGATGTCGACATTTCTCATACTCGGAAAAGTTTCGAATTGTTGCCCAAAGACAAGGAAAGACCAATCGGTATTCATTATTTTACATTGCTTCTTTTTGTGTTTGTTCTGTGGGGTGTTTGTTATTTAAGTAGGTGTTTGTTGTTTGAACATAAAAATCTTTTGCAAAAGTGTTCATTAACCGATCACCCACTGTATATGAAAAATCTTTTATTAAAACTGTTCAGAAACTTTTAACAAATGATATATTATGTATTATGTATTTATTTATTTATGTAATAATTCANTTTGCTGAATGTTGCGTTCAAGGCATCAATAACTGGTTGACAGCAACTTTCCTACATCATAAGACAAAGATGGCGGCGAAGAAACAGTATGGTTTAATAATACCAAACAAAGTAAAGAAAACTATAGAGAAATCATCAGTATTTGATAATAGTGATGAAGAGTCTTTATATCCTGAACAAAAAGTAGACAGTTGGAAAAGTAAAGTAAAAAAGAAGGTAAGTTTTTACAATTTAAAATTTTGACAGTGCTTAAAATATTATCATAATAGTAAAATGAAAGTAAAGAAAAATCATAAAACTTGAATAACAGATTTATTCTACTCCTGTTATTTAAATAAGTTAAAATGTTTGAGTGCAAGGAAGACTAAGAAAATAAAAACTGTAAAAATCATTTTAATTTCCATTTCAAAAATAAATAAAACTTTTTCTTTTTTACTAAATAACATAATTTTATCAAAAAAATATCACATGAAGATAATATCATTGTTTTGATCACTTAGAATAGACACAATTCAATATTTTAATGAAATACTGTATATTAATTCAGTTTTTATATAATGGATAGGATATATATAAATATATTAGTGTTGGTTATTTAATTTTGTTTTAAAAATTTTTTAAATATTTATTGTTTTTTTTATTTTAATGTTTTTTAATTGAGATAAAGTGAAGTGCTTAATGACTTTTCTTCATTAATTTAAATTCATTTACTTGATATAATTGTTTAAATTTTTCTTGAAATTGAAAAGCCTCTAGGTTTATCAGAGATTATTTAGTAGATTATTCATTATTGATTTGTCAAGAGACATTTTGTTTTTACAAAAATATGAATATAAGAATTACATTTTTCAAAATAAATTGTAAAAAATGTATTTTATAATTCTTTTACTACTTTATAACTGTTTCAATTACTTTGTTTTGCTAAATTTGAAAATATCACATTTTGCTCTGATTGAAAATATATGATTGTTCTTTACTGGCTTCATTCAATAAGAAAAAACTGCTTGATTTAGATTAAAAATGTTTCATACCAAACAATTTTGGTAATCTCAGCTTATATAGAATGTTTAAAAAATTAAAATTTTTAATTTTAAAAAATAATTTTTAATAACTTTATTAATAAACATTTTATATAATTTAATTTACAAAATGAATATTTATCTTTCTACATTATTTATATTAATTTTTATACATAGTAGTGGAAAAGATCATGTTTGTTCTAATAAAAATAAAAATTTTCCATTTCAATATTATTATTTATAGAACCAATTACATTGAACATTCTTAAAATTGGAGGAACTGTTATAGTAAAAATTTAAGAACGGTTGCATCATTATCTACGTTGGACTCTGTATATTAATAGGTCTCATTATACAGAGGCAAACATAGACAATGATATAATAAAGAATTTAATAAGGCCATAGAGGCAAAAGAATTAATTCTTAAACCTGTTCATCGGACCCTACTAATGTTCAATTGTAGAAGCAAGTTTTTCTTGGACTAATGTTAATATTATATTAATGATAATGTGCTAAATCTTGTCTATTAATGAACATGAATGTTAAAGAGATTGTCTTTTTTTCTGAATGTGTTATTGTATAGATCACAATATATTGTAGATTAATTAATGGTTTTATATTTTAAATTGATATATTATAGTAGTGTTCATTAATTACTGATGATTTAAAACTTTGTATGTCAGTAATTTAAAGTTGTTTTGATTCATGAAATTTATTTATTAGCACTAAAGAAATCTGGCAGTCTAAATTCTATTTTGTATAGTAATTTTGCATGTGATGATAATAATTATTGTTTTGATTTTATGATATGCTTGTTATTGTAATTAGTTTATCTTAACCCAATAATTTTATTTTATGTAACTGAAATTTAACAGAATTATGTAAAATTACTGTACTTAAGTGCATTATGTATATTTTAGGTTTATAATCTAATCTAATAATGTTATAGTTGAATACTATTTTATAAAATGCAAAGTTTAGATTAAGATGTTTTTATGTAAAATAAAATTTAATTATTTAAACTATATAATAAAATAAGTTAATAATTATACTAATGTAATCATTGTATTTTTGCAGACACGTATGGAGATACAGAAAGTATTAAAAGAAGATCCTACTGTTTATGAATATGATAGTATTTATGATGATATGAAAAGGCAAGAAGCAGAAAAAAAAGAAATCATCATTAAGGATAGAAAAGTAATTTTGTTTTTCTAATTATAAAATAATTAAGTAATTTTTAATCTATGAAAGGTGTCCAGAAAATAAATAATTTTTGGTTATAAAAATGGAAATGAAAACAGTAATGATAAGAAAAAAGTTTTAGTAAGTAATCAATATAAGACCAGTTATTTTTCTAAATAGTCACCATTATGTAGAAAAATAACTAGTCTTGTACTGATTACTTATGTGTGCTGTGACAAGTGCTTAAATTATAATTTAAGCATTTGTGATAGCATGACACTAGTTTTTGGATTCCTTCATCATAGACTTTCAGTGCTACTTCTTTCAGCCAGTTAGCCATTAAATGCATAAGATTGCAGATATACAACAAATAGTTTAAGTTGCTAAAATGTTCCAAAGTACAGCATTGTAGATAGGCAACATTTCAGAGATTTCATTATTGTCAGTTTTGTGTGCTAGGAGGCACTTAATTACAGAATATTCTCGTTCATCCTGTTGAAAATTGGGTTTGTAGAAATGTTGATTATTGCCTCATTTTGTTTTGAAGTTCAATTAGTTTATATGAAGTTTTGATGAAAACCAAAATTATTTTCATAATCAGAAAGGTCAGTTTTGTAATGGTTTTATATAGTTTATATAAAAAACAAAATGATTGAGTTGATTTTTCATTTTTTGCAGTATTACAACATTGTGCATATCTAGTAGTTCTTAGCTTTAAAAAATTGAACAATTTGTCCTAGTATAACTTTTCTGTTAGGAGGATACATATACTAATTAATAAACTTAGTTACCATCTTTTAAAGTAGATTAATTATATTATATTACTATTTTAATGTAGCACTTTAAAATGTTTAGTAGATATTTCTAAGAATAGCTTATTTTTCATATGGTGCATACAAAGATATATTATTTTTATGTAAATTGCAGATTACCATGTATATTAATGCAAAATTTGAATTTTTTTAGATTCTTTTTTAAGGTTGAATTTATGGGGTCGACTATACTACTTTTGGTTGGCTGAAATTAAAACTAGAATCCAAAGTACTGAATCAGTTGTAGAAGTCCAACTGATGTCTATATGAATAAAAACAAAAACAAAATGAATTACAGTAATATTACTGATTTGGCATTTCTATAGAAAACAGGCTCCCTAAGTTGGGGTCTGTTTTCTATAGGAACACAAAATTTTAAAATTTGTATTCACATAAAAATAAAATAATCAAGACATTTCTTTAGAAGTAGAGATGTAGAAATTCATTTTTTAATAACACAAGGTATTCTTCCAGCTAGGAAGCAATGTAGTAATTTATCATGCCAATGGGATCAAAGTATGACTTTAAAAGTGATTTAAATTCTAATCAACTTATATATTTTAGATTTGATAGTAAAAGTTGCAGAAAAAAAGCAGTCCATCTTCTGTAACAGTTCTATTAAAAATATGAAACTGGAATTATAGAAATTTTTACATTTAATTTTCATATTTGTTTTCAATGAAAAAAAATGTTGGCAAATAAATGTTGACCTGTTTGCAAAATACTAGGGTCAACTTTTACACAAGGACAGTTAAAAATTCCAGATTTTTTGGCCAAAAATAAGAGGGTCGACTTTTACATGGGATCAACTATTAGTTGGGTATATACCATACATGTGCAAATGCGGCTTAGAGATCCGCATGTTGGCTCTTTTTGAGTTACATGCAGCTTTTGCTGAAAGTGTTAATTTCTGCTTTTTATTATTATTTTTACAATTTTATTTCCAGAATTTTGTAAAAATATGTTTATTTAAAAAATTCAATATTTGTTTTATATTATATAATAAAATCACAATACAGAATAAAAATAAATACAGAACTGTGGTTCCCATGCATTTTGCAAAACCTACATTTCAGCTTTCACTGAACTTTTGCTTGCCCACCGCTGGTATGTACAGTAATGTAAAATGAGTCATCTAATACTAGATAAAGATCTTGAGACATATTTTGAAGATGTGTTAAGTGATGGTTATATTTCTAAAGTTGCATATGATGATTCAGATTCAAGCAATGATGAATTTAGTGCAAATACATTTGGAGGTTTGGATGAGGGCCTGAAGTAAGTACAGTAGAGCGTTGATTATCCGAATCAATTGGGGACTGGGGTTGTTCGGAAAATAGATTTTTTTGGATATCCGATTATGTACAAAAAATACATTATTAATATAGTGTATTAGTATATCCCAATAATAGTATATTAATATAGCCCATGTTTAAATTTTTCTCTGTTGCATGTCGCTTTGCATTGAATTTTTGTTGATATTAAGCCTAACAAAAATTTTTATAATAATCGTGGCTATTGTATCGTTAAAAATTATTTCTTTATTTTGTAAAAACAAAATAAATATATCGAAAAATATAAGAACAAAAAAATTATACTTTTAGAAGTTAATCTAGTATCAAAAACATTTGATTCAGCATGACAGCCCAACTGGAACACTTTTGGTTGATTGATATTTCGGTTGATTGTCATTCGGATAATCAATGCTCTACTGTAATGCCAAAAGAAATATTAATAATGATGATAGAAATAAAGATATTGCAGAATGTAATTCTGGGAATGGCAGTGTGACTGATATTTTGACTAATGCTTTGTCATTGACTTAAGTATCACATACCTTAAGAGAGTAGAATGATGTAACTTAGTTTGGGGGGTAAATGTTTGATACTAAATGAATTTTTCAAAGGTTCTAAACTACATTCAAAGGTTCTGAAATTTTAGCTCTGGAAACACAATACAGATTTTTTTCATATTTCTTTACAGAAGAATTGATGGAAAAATTATTTTTAAAGAAACCTATACTTTTGCAAAAAAATATAAATTGTTTCATAAATATTAGTGCATTAGTATTTGAAAATTTTATTTGTATTATTATATTTATGTCAGTGTACTATTATTCTAATATAAGATGATACTGGTAAAGAAAATATGGATTTCAACATATTACAGAAACAATGTCTTTAAATCAGTTTTTGAAAAACTTAAAGAAGTTTTACATTTTAATAATAATGAAAAACATTTACCACAAGAGGAAACAAACCATGACTATTTTTATAAAATATGGCTTCTAATTGATCATTTGAATAATTGTTTTTCATTGGTTACTCTAAACTAGAGATCATCCGTCGACAAGCAAATACGTGCTACAAAAGTTTGTCTCTATACAAAGCGATACTTGCTAAATAAGCCACATAAATGGGGGATTTAAATTATTCGTATTGTCCACAATATGAATAATTTAAAGGTTTTGCTTATAAATTTGAAATTTATTTTGATAAACATTCATTTCTTAGGAAATGAAGTTGATTTAGGCACTACAGGTAATATGGTAACACACCTTTGTTGAATAATTCCTTGAAGCATTAACTGTATCATCTATTTTGACAATTTTTACACACCTATTCCATTAATCACATATTTGGTGGAGAAAGAAATACATTGCTTAGGAACAGTTTTGCAAAACTGGTTACCTAATTGTAAACTGCCAGATAAAAGTGCATTGATAAAACAGGTGGTTGTGGAATATTTGAAGAAAGAAAAATAGCAGGAGTAGAGCTATCAGCAACTATATGGTAGGCCAATATGGTAGTTAACATTTTGTCAACTTATGTTGGAGCAAACCGAATTACAATACTAGAAAGACATGATAAAAAGTGAAAAGATAAAGTATCAGTTGCTTGAATAGTTGTAAGCTTCTTGCCTCTAAAGCATTAATTTAATAATTGTCTCAATTAACCAGATGGTAGAGATATGAGGCTTATCAAACTGTAATGATACTGAAGTAATCTCAATCACATTGAGAAAAGACTTTTATTAGTGGAATATAAGTTTTTTGAAGTTCAAATTTTCATACAAAATAAATTTATACTTGTGTGATAATCTAATATTAGACACTATTTATTATATAAATTTTTTATATAGTATAGCAAGCAAATATTTATTGTGACATTGTCACAATGCTAGGCCACAATTTTTAATTTATTTAATTTAAAATATATGCTCTCTACCTCAAATTAGTAGTGTCTTGCCCCTGTACAGAATACTTTTGCTGTTAGCAATACAGTCATGCCAATCATCTATCGAACTGCTTTCAGGAGGAAATTTTTGAATTGAAATAACATGACTTTCAACTTGTATAGATAGATAGGGTGTTGTGCCCAAGCTTTCCATATCTGCTCTTGACTTACATCTAACTAACTCCATTCTTGAGATTAAAGAAGGATGGACAACATTGGCAATTTATAGGTTTAGAAGATTTACAAATTGCAACCTGTTAAAAAAAAATGTCATTTTGAAAAATTGTGCACAAACTGTTTCATTTAGATGTATGTTATACATTGTACCGAATTTGCACATTAATAGGCAAAAACGAATTGTTGCAAATTTGTAATAAAGTGCTTTTAAATATGAGTGATTTTTTTTTTGAAAAATGATTTTTTCTATATTCAGTTAAAAATAGTTTTTAGGTTGATTTTAAAAATCTGCGCATTTAAGGGCTAATCCTTAAATGCATAAATTTCATTTAAGGGTTAGCCCACTTCATTCATGTTGTTATTTATTTTAAAATGTTTGCTATCCCAAAACTCTTTCAGCTTAGGAAAGAGGTGAAAGTCACTGAGGCCATATTGGTACTGTATGGTGGGCAGTTGAAAATGTTTCTGCCAAATTTCTGAAACACAATTTGAGTTATTGCAGCAATGTGGTTTTTTTTTGCATTTTATTTTTCTTGGCTAAATGTTAAACACTCCATTTTCTCACACTTGCTTTGTTCATAATGTGATCACTATACACTTCCATGTTTTTCTTATTAATTTTTATAGGATGAACTTTCATCACATTTAGAAAATGAATAGCACTGCATTTAGTGGGCTTTTTGATTTTATACACATTTTAATTTTTGACAAAACAGTAGCAATAAGCCTGTCATTATTGAAACGCCATGTGCTCTAACCTAACACATTACAGAACAAATTGACTTTGAAT